AAGCTTTTTTTATTCAACACATACTAGTTTCAACCACTTGTAACTCAGAGTATGGTTTTAAAAAAAAATTTGTATTCTGTGTAAACAATTAATCTTTTTACCTATAATCAATTGTTATTGTAATTTTTCAGAAATAGTTACCAAAATTTTTGACAGTGCGTAAATCATAAACAGTTAACAAAAATTTTTTTTCCTCTGTTTTGAAGGTGGCACTATATATATTTTTATAGATGAATAACTTTACAAAATATTAAAATTTCACAATTGAAATTGCTCTTTTAACTATCGCAATCGATCAATTAATTTTACATCGTATGCAACACACAATGATTCGCATAAATTTATTCGATTGTTTGTAGTTGATAAGATAGACCATCAAAAAACACCTCTTGCCAAAAAAAGCAAGGGAGCTATTTTTTTTTTTTTTTTTTTGTAGTTATAGTAACAATCGCATTTTCGGTATCTTCAACCACGTGACATAGGTTGCTTTTATTAAAAAGTTCGCAGAACTCTCACGAGGAGTAGCTTAACTTTGAAATCTTAAAAATGCCGTTTTCATAGCTCTACATATTAATTTTTGTGAGTCATAGCTGAATTAATTTATCATAAAGAAGTATCCACATAAATACAGTACACAATAATAGTTTGAATACTTCACGATTTTAAGAATAAAATGGAAAACTAGAATAAATAATTGGTCGATTTTTTCAGAAAACTGTAGATTTTTGAAAGATTTTGCACTATAAATGTAACACAAACGTTAAAATAACAAACCAACCTAACTTTCGCCTCGGACTGTACCACTACATAGGTATTCTAGTAACGTTGTAACTGGACTTTTAACTGTTATATTTTAAAAACGGTGAAGCTAGGCTTCCCCAATTTTATTATACTTACTTCAACTATAATAAACCCTAACATATTAATTTTTTAAAAGATTCTAGTAGATTCTTTAGTCTTTATAAATAGTGCGTATTTTAGATTAAAGAGTCTTACAGAGACTGAACGAAGCTTTTTTTATTCAACACATACTAGTTTTAACCACTTGTGACTCAGAGTATGGTTTAAAAAAAAATGTGTATTTTGTGTAAACAATTAATCTTTTTACCTACAATCAATTGTTATTGTAATTTTTCAGAAATAGTTACCAAAGTTTTTTGACAGTACATAAATCATATACAGTTAACAAAATTTTTTTTTCCTTTGTTCTGAAGGTGGCACTACATATATTTTTATAGATGAATAACTATACAAAATATTAAAATTTCACAATTGAAATTGCTCTTTTAACTATCGCAATCGATCAATTAATTTCACATCGTATGCAATACACAATGATTCCCATAAATTTATTCGATTGTTTGTAGTTGATAAGATAAACCATCAAAAAACACCTTTTGTCACACAACGCAAGGCAGCTAATTTTTTTTTTGTTTGTAGTTATAGTAACAACCGCATTGTCGGTATCTTCAACCACGTGACATAGGTTGCTTTTATTAAAAAGTTCGCGGAACTCTCACGACGAGTAGCTTAACTTTAAAATCTTTAAAATGCCTTTTTCAGAACTCTACATATTAATTTTTGAGAATCATAGCTGAATTAATTTATCATAAAGAAGTATGCACTTAAATACAGTAAACAATAATAGTTTGAATACTTCACGATTTTAAGAATACAATGGAAAACTAGAATAAATAATTGGTCGATTTTTCAGAAAACAATAGATTTTTTAAAGATTTTGCACTACAAATGTATATGTTGATACTATTTTGAGGGGGTTGTCGTGGTACAGTCAATTTCAAAATTGAATTTTCGTGTTAGAAATGTCTTTGTTGTGATTATTCTTAACAAAACAGGTAAATAATTTAAAAATTAGGTG